CCAAGTTTCTATTTCCACAGAACAGCCAGCATTTCTCTGCAAAAGGCCCAGAGGTGCACCTTTATTTTTCTCTGCCAAATATCAATACATGTTGGAAGCGTATTTTTAAAATACATTCCAAATTTATGGCAAGACTACTCCACAACAGCCCATAAAACGTCATCTGATCCATTCAGTATGGGTTGTTATCAAAGACCAAACATGTTGTATCTGAATCAGGATACTTTACTCCTATTTTGAGGGGGAGGAATTGAATAAAAGGAGTTGGAGCCTCTGAACTAGCTCTTCAGAAGCCACAATGCTCCCACATGTATTTGTTTGCTTTTCTTCCCAGACAAAAAGAAAACATCTCTTTCAAAGACGCGTACAGAAGATTTGTTAAATCTCTTTTTTTCCCTAAGATGTCTGACCCATCTGCACTTGCAACTGAGAAGTTCAGTTAAAAAATAAATGCAGTTACAATTGCCATGACTCAAGAATAAAGATGTCAGATTTGTCGCGAAAGATCTTCCTCCAGAAGTACCTTGTTTCTCTGTAACTACAACGTCATGTCAGAGGAAGTCTTTCTTTTCACTATATATACCACTGAACCAACGCAATCACTGCACCAACAGATCATAAATGCCTGAGAATGAAACTGCAAAAAATGAAGAGCTCTTTTCAAAGCTCTGGAATATTTAAATTTCTCCAAGACTATGCTTTAAAATCATCTATTCTGCTGTGGTAGAGATGGATAAATGCCCTTAAAACCTGATTAAGTAAAGAATACATGACATGACAACTAGAAAGTAACGTCTGCTCTCATAATGAAGATTCTTGAGTAAAACTGGGTTCAGCTACGATAGAAATCAAGCAGAATTCAAACTTTAAATAGGCAGTGACCAAAAGTCTGGCATCACAGGAAATCATATCTACTGCAAATGATTTAAAAGAAATAAATCCCTCCAGTCCATTCACAAGCCTCCTTTAACATCACACAGCTCGTATATAACGATGATGGCTATTATAGGTCTTTAAACATGGCATTCAAACAGGCCAGGATGCAACTACAGAGAAATGCCAGTTGAACAGGCTGGGTCTTGCTTGTAAGCTAAATCCCTGAATGCTTCAATACCCTTTCTGTAGGTGCTCATTACAGTAGTTTGTTCCTTGATAGTACTTGAGCAAGAACCTTTTCCTGCACTTCTGGACTTGTCCAGAGGAAAATAAACATATTATTTTCCCAGAAAGACTGCCACCCAGCCACAGGTTCAGCAGAGGTACCTCTGTGCCACAGCTGCCATGCAGGAACGGCAGAATCACTCCATCCCTTTCCTTTTGCCCACCACCTCTTACACAGCTCCAGTGATCAGAATGAAGGCGTCAAGACTTTCTTGAAACCAGGAACTGTGCCTTGTGCTCAGAACACAGCGACAGGTGAAACTGGTGGAGAGAAATCCCAAGTCGAGTTCAAATAATGTCAGAAACAGCATAATAAGACAAAACGCTTTAGCCTAATCACAGAAGAAGAGTAAACAGAAAATTAATGGCTGTTTCTGTTATTATTCTCTGATGGAAAACCTGTTCTCCAAAGCGTTCAGCAACTTCAGCAGACGACGAGTGAGAGAAACCATCACATCCAGTGACTTTATGTAGGGAGATAGAAAGAGGTCAGACATGAAAACGATGGAGGGGACAGCAGGCTTAAAGTAGGAAATGCCTGTGTATTCACACATGCTGTACACTGTCCTGTAGAAAAACTGATGTGTTTGAAACTGAATGCACGGTCATTACAACATAACAAGACTATTTCTATGCATACGTATAAAGGGGCAGCCAAATGGCATATTAAAAACATGTACACCTCCCTAGTCAGAAAATAGGTCAGTGATCACCACTTATCCTGCTTTTTAATAAAGGGATTTGAGAATATTCCCTAATCTTATAACAAACACAGATTTTCATTATTCTTTTGTGAACTAGAATGGGTATATTAAAGTAGTTGGAAAATAAAATAAAAAAAAAAAACAACCTGGCATTGTAGCTTGTCTTTTTTTTTTTTTTTTTTTTTTTTTTTTCAGGTGCTCCCTAATAATATATAACTTCAAGTTACAGTAGGAAAAAGGGAATAATTGGCACACGCTGTATTTTATTACTGATCTTGGAAAAAGCCACACTAGGTTTTTATGAAACACACACTGCTTCACATTGTTACATTCTTCAGGGTAATCTGGCTTGTTTCATACTTCTGGCAATAGGAAAGAGTGGTGAAATTGCAAAGACTTTGATTCTCCAGTCCTCTGGGCTCCTGGTGCCCCAGAACAGGATTCATACCTCCTTGGTAATACACGCTATGGAGCTGTGAGGCCACACCAGCTATACAGAAAGGACACTGAAAGCACTAAAATCCCCTACAATACGTATCAGCTGGTATTAAAATGAGCACAATTAGATTGGAGGCGCACCTACTGCTTGTGAAAAATGACACACACCTCTAAACCATCACGAAACAGACATTTTTTCAAGGCAAACCTTCCAAGGATAACTGACAAAAAAATTCTAGCTAGCTTCAAAGCCCCTAAGCTTAGGGTTGGAAAAGGGACCTTAAACTTTGCTGGTCATTTATTGGCTTCCATAGCTCCAGATCTGGAGACAGCACAGCTCACAGATGGCTCCCATTTATCCAGTGGCTACAAGTGAGACAGAGAGAGGGGAGAGGCAGTTCTGTGGCACCCCTCATGCTGGGATTAGCTTGGTAACACAAAAAGCAAGTATCAGATGTAGAACAGAGAGATCAGGTAGCTGGTAGTCCAGTAGCTGCTCCATGCAGCGAGGCACACAGGTCTAATACGGATCAGAACCACTGCTGTGACACTTACGATCCAGTTTTATGACTGGATTTCTATTTAATGGGAACTGCAGTCCCACTTTAGCTCTTTTCCAAGTGTTCTCAGGCAAAAAAATGCTGTTTTATTGTACATCAAATGCACTGTGGATGCTGCTGGAAAACAATTTAACTGAATTAGTTCATGCAGAAGCACTTGGGTTACATGAAACAGTGTTACACAGTACATCTCTGGTTTATGCCCCATAATCTCTACCCATTGAGAGGAGACTCTCTTTGGGGAATATGTATTATTTTACCAGTTTGAATTTCAGCTGATTTTCTGTTTTTCCAACTCTTTGTCCAGATCCATTTTGCATCGTGGTGGACTTTCAAATCTCCCATGGCTGCGTGTGTGCCCACTGACATGGAAAGCATCTAACACCACCAGCTCTGAAGGTACCCTACACATTCTTACACCCATAAAAGAAAAGGACTTGCAAGGAAAAGTCTTAACTTCCTTTCCCTCTCAAAAAAGGAAAAAGCATCAATTTATTTTCCCTGATCCCAAGACAGTACGGTCCGAAAAAGCTAAAGAAAGTATCTATACCGTTACTTAAAAGTGGTATTACCCTGCACACAGACTCAGCACAGCATCCCCTCTTGCGATGGAGTTTAAACCAATGAGTCTTTCTACGAAATTCAGTAAGCTTTGGATCAGACAAATCTTATTCAGGAGCAATATCTGAGTCCGCATATAGGAACATGTTCCACAGTGTCTGGAAAGAACCTTTTACTTACTTAGCACTTGAGCCTTTTAAATCAAGGGCAGGAAAAGGAAAAGTGCCAAGAACAACCCTTTTCTGACATTACCTCCTTTTCTTTAATGTTGCATATTTTAATACTAGGTAGAACAGATGGTGAAATACAAGCTCTCCACTGAGAACTAAATGACAGTATCTAGCTGTAGGGGACAGTAAAGTATTAAAGAGAAGGAAATGCACAAATAATGAAAGTACATTTTGTCCAACTTGCTTTTGATGAGACATAAAATAAAATGTAAATAATTTCTATTAGGAGGAAATTAACATAATGACTTTGGTATTTGCAATCAGAGTGAGCTTGTATTATATAACCTGGATTTGTAATTGAAGTAGAGCAACACCATTTACCTGGATCTGAAGTAAGAATTATATGAATTCTGTTTTCGCCATCAGTAATACAACACAAAACCAATACTATTAGCATGACTGATAATAAAGAAATGTGATTAGTCTCAACTTGGACTGGCAATAAAAAAAAGCAGCAGAAATGTTCCTCAGCTGTACATGAACAAAGAGGTTCTATTAACCCGAGTTTGCAGTAAAGAAAAGCGTCAATAAAACTAACACGGGTTTGCAATTAAGTTGGTGTCAATGTGGCTGGGAAAAGAAATTCATAATTAGGACAACAGTGTTAGTATTGACTTGAATTTTCACTAAAAATCATGTCTGGGTTTTAATTTGGAACTGTAAAATTCATCTCCATGCTTTACAGAAGGCGACCGTATAATTATCAACTTGCAGTTACTTTACAATTAGAATTACTTCCATAATGTGTTCTTTTTTATATAACCATGTGCGTGTTATAAATGGGCTCCCAGAAGAGTATCCAACACAGAAAATTAAACTTCCAAGTTTCTTTACAAAGGCATTAGTAAGGATTTAAATACTTTACCCTCAGAAAAAAAATGACTGCTTCAGCAAGACCTTGTACTTCCGCTCCAAATATTGGTTTCCTTATTAGAATTACTAGTTTTAGTTAATTACTAGCTACATCTCTATTAATGGTCTCACAAATCATTTTGTGCCCATTTATTGTAAATACTCTCGATGCTTCTAGGGAACATGATCAAGAGAGTACTTAAATGGACGTAAACGGGTTGTTTAATCAGCCTTGGGCACATTAATACAGAAAGCCAACAACATGGAGCTTAAAGTCACTTTGGAATCTGAGTATGCACTTTCTTGCACTTACTTTTCCATTTGACTTGCAAGTCTAACACACCAACACAACACTCAAAGATAAGGAAGGAATGTCTTTTTTTTTTTTTAAAGAAATCTCTTTTATGTGCTATTTCCAGGTTTTCTCACAACAGAAAGGAGAACGTGAGCCCAGCAGAATTCTCTACCTCATTCTATTTTATTAGTAGACTTACCTCCTTCTTCTTCTTGTACTCCTCCTCCTCCTTCTTTTTCTTTTTCCTCCGCACTGGGAATCAAAGGTTTCTCGTCTTCTGTTGTGTCTTCTTGGTTCAACAATGGCTCTGAATAAATTTGATAAAAAGATGAACACTAAGGCTTTTCAGAACTGACACTGCATAAAAGGATTAACAGATACTAGAGAGATTATCATTAAAAACGCTGGAAAAGGATCATTCCCCCCAGGAGGACAGACACAATAACCAACCTGGAGAAATGCAGGGGGCTGTATTTGAGAGCAAGGCCTTGATCCTCTAACATGCTGAGCTTTCTGGGATTTAGTACAAAAAGCCCCACGTGCCTAACTTCAGTTATAGGCCTTTACCAGGACTCATCACCAACCCAGAGACACACGGACCCAAGCGTTTTGTTGGACTGGGGACAGAGCGTGCTGTGCTCCAAATATACAGGACTAAGTGCTTGTTGTGAGGAACAGGAAACACCGTTTTCATTTCTTTGTCTAAAATTGGCAGTCATTAACAACTCACAGAGAAGCCGTAGCCACTGCCCTGCTCTGGGTTTGTCTAGTCTGGAGAAGAGGAGGCTCAGGGCGGATACTTCATTGCTCTCTGCAACAACCTGAAAGGAGGTTGTGGCAAGCTGAGAGTTGGCCTCTGCTCCCATGCAGCAGTGTTAGGTCCAGAGGGGATGGCCAAACATTGAGCCAGGGGAGGCTCAGGTTGGCTGTTAGGAACAATTCCTTCTCCAGAAGTGATTCTGCACTGACACAGCTGCCCAGGGATGTGGGGTCACCTGGAGGTGTCCCAGAGCCGTGGGGATGTGGCACTGAGGGACGTGGGCAGTGGGCACGGTGGGGTTCTGGGGATGGGTATAAGATAGATGACCCAGTGGTCTTTTCCAATCTTAATGATTGTATGACTCCATTAGACTATTTAGCTCCACAGTTTAACTTTAGTAGCTATTGAGAAAGAAAGGGAATTTAAATGCTATTGGTAGTATGTGAGCATTAACTAGCATTACGCATCTGCAGTACCTTCTATTTCCATGCAGGAGCTTTGGGAATCTGCCCCGGTTTTCATCTCCTCCTCCACAGCATCCTCCTGTTGTCCTGTTAACGTGACAAATTGAAAATGACATCAGCACGAGGGCTGTGCACATGCAATGCAGGTTCAGCAGGCACAGCACGAATCTAACAGGCAGCATGGTACTCTTCAGCCACATACTGCTTTCTTCTATTAAATGAACAACATTAGTATTATTTTATATGTGAAAAGACCACTTACTAAGCTTCAAGCGTTAAGTATGTTAAATGCCTGGTCAAAACTGATCCTGAATCAATTTTTTTTTTTATTATTCTTTCATAGCAATCTGTTTCTCATAGGAGCTGCTGCAAAGCACCCGTGCTTGACAGTCAGCTTATCAGAAGGAACAGAATAATCCCACAGGCTTTTAGAACAACAAGGATAGAGGGAAAAAGAAAAAAAAGGAAATAAGAGAAAATAACAATGATGCTATGTACTCTGGATCAATGTGGTTATAAACCCGTGCATTTGGAGATGTGCGTCTTTGGCAGCAATGCCAGAAATTGCTGCACGAGTCCGATCTGGCATAGAAACACTGCTAGCTGGAAGCACTTTCCTAAGGCAACACAGGTCAGGCTGAAACCCAGTAGAGCCTGGAAATGGAAGAATCAAGGTTCCCAACTGGTTTATTACCTGTATCTTCAAGAATTTTCAGGGACAACTTTACCTTGGGCTTCATCTTGCTCACACCCCATAGGATGTGCTGGGTCACTCTCCCTCGTGCCTTTGGAGTCTTTCAGGGAGTCTGAGGAAACAGCAAACACACAAACGCATGTACTGCAGTGGTTTTAGGCTGCAAAAGTCTATTTCTTTCCTCGGACACTGGCAGCCCTTAGGTGCGAGATTTGCACTTGGCATTCTGATACTCAGGCAGCATTTCTAGCTGTTTAACCACAGCCTTGTACACTGTAAACACATTCTCATGGGTCTCAATTATTCAAATTGATTTCTGAATCTGCCCACTTACTGAGTAGCTTCTGGCCCGCAGAAAAAAAACCAAACCAAAACAAAAAAAACCCCAACTTTAAAAAAAGAGTTGTTGAAAATGAGAAGTGCGACCAAGACTTCTGTGAACTAAGTGTCACGAAGACACTATGAAAAACAAAACGAACCACCTACTTGATAAACTGACTTTTTTTTTTCTCTTCAGAACAATGCCAGAGCTTTTCAAGGTTGGATTTCCACAAACTTGACAAACATTAAGTCTTAAATCCCAGTGCAAATCCCAGCCTCACTGCACCAAATGACAGAATTCCCAAGGTCATTGCTGTGGCCAAACTCGTTTTGCTTCTGGGGAGCCCAACAAAATGAACTGGCCAAAGCCAAACCCTGAACCAGTGGCACAGTAAGCTTTAAATCAGACATTATAAATCCAATCCCTAAGCTATCTGTGGTCTTCATAAACACAGCACATTATTTCTGTTGTGTCAAACAACATTTTCTGACAACAGCCACTCCTTAGTGACGTAAGACGTGCAAAGATCTATAGTGTATGACAATAAGTTACACAATGACAGGCTTGTTATGGCCTATTCTAGACCCTATTCTAGATGGTCTCTTTCTATAATGCAGCAGAAAGAACCTTACAATATGTGCACACCAAGGGATGCTCTGGTAAAACTCTGTTCCTGAAACTTGCCAAGAAAAATCTCCAATGGGTAAGTGGGAAAGCTGGGTTGTTAACATCTGATCCAAATTTAATAATCTGTAGAAAAGGTATGCACTGAAAGTGTGTGCCTTTAATTAACTGCAAATAATCCCCCAAGGCAAATATTTAATTACCTGCACAGCTTCTTACCTCTTTCATGGCATGACAATAAGTTTATAAATCCAAGTTTGAAAGCAGAATATCTCACTGATGTACAGTTTGCTAGAATTTGCCCTTGCTGCACCTTTTTTCACCCTATTGTGGACTTAAAATGCTCCTTACTGCTATCAACTGCGCTGGACTTTCATACTAGGATGTCCCACTGTGCTGTGAGTTGCAAGGTATTGCTGTACCAGCCTGAATCAGAGCAAAAATAAATTAGAATCTCATCAAATTGCAAGTTTAGTCAAAAAATGAGTTGAAGGACCTCTTGGTTTTCCATGAGAATGGCACTAAAAATCTGAAGGGAATTAGTCAGCGTCTAAAACAAATTCTAAACCCACTAATGTTCTGGCTTCACTGATGTCCTTGACAAAGCCTTCAGGATAGCTAGCGAGTCAAGGTCTGTAGCGATTCTGAATATGGCACTGTAGATATTATCATCTTTGTGTATCATTTATTTCAATGCTTGTAAATGGTAGTGTGCTGACAAAACCAGAAGTCTTCGGCCTTAGGCATCCCAGCCTGGGTCCTCCCAATAGCCAAAAGTGATAACCAAGCATGATATTACCTGCTTTGGGTGGGAGGGATGCACAGCTATCTGTCCCACAAGGTCTTTAAAATTATTTCATCTCACATTGATTGCACAGTACTTCATACTGCCAGACCTATGCCTTTAACCTCAGTCCACAGGTGCCACCTTTTCTCCCAGAATGAGGAATGGCTCCAATTTCATGCAAAAATCAATCTGCAGCATCAGAGGAACAATTACACGCTTTGGTCAATAATAACAAATGGAGCTTAAGGAGCCCTGTGCTTCACAGATATATGCTCCCCAACACACTGTTGTTTGTTGTGAAGCATCATGTAGCTTATGGCAAACTATACTCACTGGGCAGCATGGGGAGCTCCCTGCATTTCCACCCTATGTCACTGCACTCAGCCAGAGACCACCTATGTCACTGGACACATCTTCAGACGTTCCCACAACTGGCTGCACGCATTTTATTCTTAGCTTAACACCAACTTACAGCCTCCTTTCATTTTGGATTTAAACAGTTTTCTAATTGTTCCAGGGTTCGAGAAAGCAATTTAGTTTCGCAGGATTCAAAATTATTCCAGGCAATATAAAACGTTCGCTTTGCCCGTATTATTTCTTTTGTCAAGTGTGCTTCTGAAAAGAGCAGAACGCGAGCAGGAGTTGCTGCCTCTCTGAAATGGAGCCTCCTGTTCCTACCTCAGCAGCAGACATCAGCCCTTGTATTACCATGTAGATTCCGAGCTTCACAATCTTTAAGGTCAAGATCGTACCAAAGATTTCTTCTTTTCAAATGCTAATACTAGATCAAACATTCAAGCCCAAAGGCCCAAAGATGGATTTACTTTTAGGATTTACAAGAATAAAACAAGGCGAAGGAAGAAACCCAGATTTATGAAGAAAAACTCAGCCAAGCACGAATGAAAACATAAAACTAAATGCGCAGGTAAATAAAAGCTGCTCCCAAATTGGGTATGAAACAGGAGCGCAGCATCCATTTCAGTTGACAAGCAGTGGTGGGAATCCCACTAATGCTGAGCATATACAACTTTCTATCTCCAAGACTTCAGTAGGGTAGAGGGATTCCTCTGGAACAGCTGGTCCTCTGTGCTGACTTAGCCTTTTAGAGCCATGCAGAACTGGGCATAAGCCAGGATGATAGTCCTAAATGATTCCAGGTCTGCATATGCTCTGGACATCCCCACGGCCTTCATCCATCACCGAATGCCTGGGGAACTAACTCTGATTTTTAAATAGCATAAAGTAATGCCAGTTGTCTCCTAACACAGCTACTTCATCTGTCAAGTCGTAGTAGGGAATCCAAGTCAGGATATGATTTCACAACAAGGTATGCTTACAGATCTTTTGATAACAGATGCTGGGCATCATTTACTTTGGGTAATGACACATCAGAGCTGTAAGGGTTAGTATTCTGCCAGCCAGCACTGAAAGCAATCGGTGTTCCTCATACGACACTGTAGCTTGGTTCCTAATGTCATCATTGCTCATACATGAACAGAACGAACACAACATTTACTGACATAAATGAATCAAAGATTAGCCACTTGCACTGACTGCACATAAAATACCGGAGTGCTTGTTTTAGGAGTGACTCTGATTTCATCAAAGCTGTATTTATACAGTGTGGTCCACATAAGGAGCACGCACTCTGCCCCAGCCTGCTCTGCACCCCTCCCTTGTATACAAATAGTTGTACTGTGGATTTGCGTGGCTAAACAGACCTGGGAATTAACCCCAACCTTTAAAACCAATGGAGAACATATCTGGACTTGAAGTAGGTCACATTCATCACACCTAGCACAGTCCCTTCCAATATACCAACTGTACGTTGAATTCAACTACAAGAAAATGGTGCAGCTTGCAATAAACTAGCAATCCTTCCTGCCAATAATCAGACGCTATTTTGCCCAAATACTGCATAAAACCCAATGCTTTTCCTTGTCATTCATAGTTTGTATTTTATTTTTTTTTTACTGTACAAAGCAACACTGCTCAAAGAAAATTTTGCAAATGCTCAGAAGAGGAAAAACGGTAAGATCTGAATGTTAAACGGTTTTAATGATCTCTTAAAATTCACTTCCCAGCTACTCTCTGTACAGCTTATTTACTGAGTCGTTTCTAATGTGCAACACACCTGGGTCCTGCGCACAGCATAGATAAATCACCACATTTTAGGGAGCGGTAAGAAGATTAAAGAGGGAGAAAGCTGGCCATTATGAAAGAAACAGGTTCAGTGCATTTTATTTTTTAAGCATGATACTGTGAAAAATGACTGGAATATTTCCAGAGTGTAAGAAATCAAGCAGGCGTCTAAAATTACAGGTAATGGTGTGCACGGAGGCTGCTGCATGATTAGGGTATTCTTTTGCCTCATAAACCGAGGAAAATGTGTTAAAATGAAGTACTATAAAACTGTGATTTATAAGAAGTGAGGGAGATATTCCTGAGCTTTGACTTTAAAATGTTATTTTTATATCCACTAAGATTTCATTTTAATCTATCTTTATGACAGATTAGATTTATTTGAGCCCAAGTTTATACGGGCCTTGGTAAAACAGACCTTTTTAGGAGCAACAACCTGTAGGAAAATTTTCCCAAGTGTTCAGGTGGTAGAGCAGTTCATCTCCACAGGTGAGGTCAAACATACATCGCTCCCACTCGCTCCTGCTTCGAGCTGCAGGAAGGGCATCATCTCCTCTGACCTCAACTTCTGTCCATGAGAGAAATACGAGGCTCAGCTGCTCTGATAACCGTGGGCATCCTGCTGCACGGCAGGGCCTGTTGCACAGAGCACTGGGAAAGGAAGAAGCTGAGAAAAATCCTGGCTGCCTTGATTAGAAACTTCCCAGGAGAAGATGCCGCACAGCTGAAGGTAGGAGGGGGAGGATGGGAGGAAGAGGTGCTCCATCGGGCTGATGGGAGCGCAGCTGGATGGCTTCAGGTCAGCTAATATTTAAAAATAAGTAGGATTTAAATAAACCAGCTAAGGAGATTAGTGTCAGCTGTTGCGGCTGCCTGTACAGGGAATGTTAGAGCAGAAATATCTCCTCAGTAGTTTATGGTCTGAAGACACAATGCTCCGGATTGGTGAAATTAAAAGAGAAAAAAAAAATTTAAAAAAAATTGCATTATGTTCAATTCAAAGCCTGCATTCTGGAGGGTGTTAAGAGAAGAGGCGTTTGGTTGGATGCTGGTGGTTGGAAACAAAAACCAAACCACACCATTTAGCCCGTGTTATTTGTTTCCATAGATATCATCCCAATCAAGGGAGAGAAAAATGTTATCTTCATAGCTGGCATGCAGAGGCACAGCTACAGTTGGGAGTGTTGAAACTTTTCTATTTAAAAAGGCTCTTTTTCACTTACCCATAATTGAAATTTTTCAGGCTGAAATTTTCCAGGCCTAATCATAGCCCAAGGGTGAAGTAAAAACATTTCATTGGTAGCTGCTGAGCGCTCAGCACTTCTGAAAATCAGGTCATTCATTTAGATGTCTTAATATATACTTAAGAGCTGATTTTAAACACCTTTTTTTTGAACACACTGGCCTTACAGTCGATCTGTTTCACTCACTTATCAATGCCTAATTTATGATGATTTACACAGCTACCCCGAATTGGAAATGCTATATCTTGTAGTTTATCCCTTTGCTATCATTTACATCTTTTTGATGTCAAGATTTTTCCAAGGTGAGAACTACAGCTGGCCAAACACAAATTACACAGCCATTACATTTTACAGGCTTCTGGGTTGCACAAAGTGAATTTTTAGGGCTAATCTCTAGCCCAGGCATATACCTAATACTGCTTCTGACAACATAAACCCTCCAGCTGTCTGAATCTGACTCCATTTCAGAGAACACAGAAATACAGTGACTTGCTTTAACAGCACTCCTGCAGGAGCACAGAATTTGGTGAACACCTGGAAATAATTAATCGCTACTTTATTTTTAAAATTGATTAGCATATGATTTAATTTAGTTGACCTTCATACGAAAATTCAGTGCTTATTGAGTGCTAATGAATTAAAATCAGTGCATTGTGCACAGAAAGTTTCCCACGATTACATACATAATGGGAGTTCACCCTTTATCTATGCTCAATCCATTTCTCTCTCTCATTTTCCTGCCAAAAAGTCCCACCACTCAGTCACAGTAAGCAGCAGTCGGTGGATGGGTATCAGAGGAGATACACACTCACATGCACTCGGTCCACCTAAAATGGGTTGGAAGTCCCAGCACAATCTTGTGTGGAGAGGCATATTAGGCTGAGTGCAGCCTGTCTGATACGTGTTTTATCTGCTGCATAAACATTAATGACTTTAATCACTCTGTTCTGACTTCCACTACATAAAGAGGAGCATCTTGGCATTGAAATACTCTGTGCATAAAGGACCTACTTCCTCATGCACAGTAATGAAGCACTATGAAGGCGCTGCTGAGAGGTGTCAGCTCTCCCATCAACAGCTAATAGAAATGCATGCGAGTTTTCAAGGGTAAAATCACAACACTTCTCTGTTGTATTTCCAGACAGTGGAGATAGAAACTTGGCACAGACGAGAAGAAGATACCTCTACAGCATAACTTCAAACATCTTGATCTTCTTATAATATGACTATTCTGCTTTTTTCCTGAGGACAGAGCACTCAGAAAACTCCATCTGCTCAAAGGCCGCACGCAAACTGAGCCCACATGAACTTTTTTTCTGGACAGTGTCTCTTCTATTATGGATAACAGAAGAGAAATGCGCTCACAGGAATGTGGGACATGTAATTCCACAGTAGATTTTTATTTTTTAATCGGAGTTCCTGAAGGCATTATTCCTGCACTGTTCAGAAGATTTTATCATGTGCCATATTTCTACGGTCCCATACTTTCTCTTCTCCTTGAAAGGAAAAAAAAGATAAAGAAGGCTTAGATTAATAAAATATTAGAACTTCGTGACTGGGAATGCGTTCCTGAATTGGAGTACAGGTTGGCATAAGACCTAACCCACCATTTGTGCAAAGGGCCTTACCAAGAAGTGTTGAGCCATGCCACTGTGGGACTGGCAGAACCCTGTTAGTGACAGTCTGCCTCTGGTAATATCCATTCAGAGCAATGGTTAAGGTCATCAGAGAAATCATTTTAACCAAGGCAGAGAAACATTATCACTGTAGCTGGCATGAGGAGCCTCAACGTTCAGACTGATAGGTATCAGAATCCATTTTGAACAACAGCACGTTTTAAAACCATACAGACGTATTTCAGTGTGTTCACTGTTTTCTGATCCCAGAAATACATGTGAAAAAAAAAGGGAAAAAATTACTAATTGATGATGGTTAGAGTTGAAATGGCCATTTCACTGCACTCACCAGCACTGACATCAGAAAGGCTGTAGAACTGCCACAGCAAGCTTGGAAACCTCCCGTTCTGATTATTTTAAACCATGCATTTTGGAAGAATATAACCTGTACTCCTTTGCCATAAATCTCTTTTCCCAGTAATTAGGTGAAAGAATTGGAAAAGTGTGATTTCTTTCAATGCTTTACATCCAGTTCATTAAGTTGAAGATAAATGGCAGAAAAGAGTATACTCCAGAACCTGGCAGGTTTTAGCTGCGTTAACTCAGTGGGCAAACAATTTGAAGGCTGAAATTTATTTCAGGAGCAGCAGGTGTTTTCAGAAACACCAGAATTTTGTAAAATTGCCATTTCCTAAACAAGTAGCAAGTTTTTTGTAAAAGCAGTATTCATGCTAAATCCATAATCCGAAAATCTGAAAATACACAATGCAAACCACGGCCTGGTAGAGGCAGTGGTCTCAATGTTCAAAAATCTTGGTTAGAATCGTAGAATTATTGAGGCTGAAAAAGACCACTAAGATCACTTAGTCGACCATCAACCCACCCCCACCATGCCCACTACCCATGCCCCTCAGTGCCACATCCACCCTTTTTTTTCAAACACCTCCAGGGATGGTGACCCCACCACCTCCCTGGGCAGCCTGTGCCAATGCCTCACCGCTCCTTCAGAGAAGAAATTCTTCTTCTGCTGAGCTAATTAGCAAATACAACCCAAAACAGGATCTCTTCCCAACCGTTCTTTTTGTCTATTAGTATGAGTTTTCAAACAAGATATATGGAGGAGGATCTGTTTCACTCCTTTTCCCCTATCGGATGCTTTCTGTCCTATCCTTGAGGAGAAAGACATCCAAGAATGACCCTTCTGATTTTACAGGGCACTGTTTCTTCTGCCAGTCTCTCAAGAGAAGAGGGGAAAACATGATTCTCTTAGAGTATTAAAGGAAAAGCGAGAGGCATAACACAGAGAAAGCTGCTTTCCTGAGAAGAGGAAACTAAGTACAAAGGGCCAAAAAACTGGAGTAGTTTAACATTGAGATTAGCCACCAAAAAGCTATCAGAAGGCACTGACTTTGTAGTAATGAACAAGCACTTAAAGCAATAGCAAAACTTTTGGAGTTTTGGTGAAGCTGCAAACAACATCCTAACCCAAAAACCCACCGCAGGCCTCACACTACAAAACATCAAAACCCCATCCAATGGGGGATCGTATGGATACAGTATACATAAAAAGGCCAAGTGTCAGCGAAAAAAGAAAAATGAGTGACGGGTAATCACCAGCTATGCTGGGACTGAACCTATTACTATTCCTGCCTCAAACTAGCCTTGCTATGACCTTAATCTGAAGATATCAATAGCAAAAGCCAGCGCACTGGCAAGGGTTTGAGGGCTTTTTTCCCTGCAGTATCAATCAACCAGTTGAGAGAGCACTTAAATCAACCTGCGCCAGGCTTTGAACTCATAATCAGGTAAGTATGTGGGCTCTCCAGCATGTTCCTTTGGAACAAAATGGCAAGATCTCGCACCCTGTCACACTTATCTAGAAAAATGAGAAGAGAGTCAAGCAGCGACACTGAATTAAACATTAGATCTTTTAAAATAAATAAGTTAATGGATGTTAATAATTATGTTATCTCAGTGAAACGCATTAAAATTTTCTATTAGTCTTCCTTCGCCCATCTTTCTGATAGGCGGTATTTATTACAGATAGCATAACTCCTGTTTTGAATCACCAGTAGCGAACGTTTTATAAATCACCCAGGCTTTTTCCTGACGCACCCACACAAAAAATGCCAAAAACCACAGAGCGGCACAAGCAATTAATAGCACGATATCGTAACAGTATCGAAAACAGCACGTCTGTGCACTGGCTCCTATCCGTAAACCAACAATTCCATCAGAAAAATCTCAGCTTGAAACATTTAAATTAGATCATTCCTCTTTCTTGTTTCCTAAACTCCCCAACATTTGGCCCCGTGACACTTTTAAATATTTATCACAAACTAAATGATCTGAGTGCCCAGCACAGCCTGCACAACATAAACATTACTTTCTCCTTCTCAATTATGACTTCATCTCCTTCTGTCTCCTCTTGATGTGTTTATAGCTATTGTGTTTTTCTTTTTCCCCATCAGGAGAGCTCTGAATAGGAGAGCTAACGCTGTGGAGATAGATGTGCACATTTAACTTTACACACGTGAATAATCCCAGCGAGCCCAAGCTCCAGGCTTATTTCTGATACGTCACGTATGATACTGTAGCATTACCTCCATAAGGAGGAAAATTGTTGGAATTCATGGCATCTCTCATCAGCACAACAGCTGGTGCCAAGTACTTTTATTACAAAGACTTTTGTAAATCAAAATCCAAGCATGTACCTATTTCTGTACGGTTTAACTGTGATTTTAGCAATTTCCAGACAAAAGAAAATACGGCTTTGTGAGATGTCCTCTTGGGTTTGGATATTTTGCAATGCAATTTACAATCTGTACCTTTATCCTCACTAGGCTTTGCTTCTTCTGATGATGATAGGCTGGCTACAGCGGAAGGTTTCGTCTCATCTGTAAGAACAAGGAAATGAAAGACAAGTTATTCATTAGCTAGCAAACTGATGAACTGGTTTACTGGGGGAAAAAAAACAAGCGTTACACTTTATCGGAAGATGATACAATGCTTGAATTTGATTTTTTGGGCTTCCATCCATTCTCATTGTATTCACTGACCATTACCAGTTTGACTGTCTTCCCTAGGCCAGGGATAAACTTGCACTGCAATACTGCCAGATCAAATCTGTACTTCAACTTACTGTAATAGAGAGAGAGGAACAGCTGCCAATTTCTTCGGTAGGCTGGTGTTCTCTTTGCTTACATATTTCTTTTTTTACTTAATCTATTTATTTGGGGAAAAAACACAAGCCATTCTTTAATCATGTCCAGCAGTCCCAATGGAATCAAAATCATTAAATGCAAATGCTTTCCTGAAAACAGAGTCTTTCTTGAACAAGATCTGAAATTTAGCAAGTCCGTAAAAATCTGTGGAGCATAGCTGTTTAATGGTAGAGTATGTGCTGTTAAAACGATGATCTTTAATAGATAAAATTAGTAACTGAATTTTATATATTTTTTCACTTTCACTGCAGCTTCTTCTCAGCAATCTTTGCAGGTTTTAAACTTTAGAAACCTGTTTTCATTTTTAGCCTTTCATTTCTTTTTAAGACTTGCCTCGAGTTGTTCTTTTTTTCACCTGGCCTAGTCATTGAATATTTTTAACTAGCTTGAAGCTGGAGCACTGAACCACCTGCCATTTTGTTTTCCTTGTGTTAATTGTGAGGTACACCAATGATAGGATAGAGGCCAGATTATTAGAAAAACCAACAACGCTCTAATAGCCAAACTATTCAAGGCCAATCCTTGTACACTATAATTGGCTTTTTCATCTATTGTGTAATAAGAATATATAAATCTTTAAGTAATGACTATGTAAGAGCACAGTTTATTTTTGCTCCTCATACGCTTTCTTTTACAATATTAAAGTAATGATTTGTGATTTGTCACACTCAGATGAAGGTTATGCCTTTTGGTTTAGAAAATACAAATTAGAACTTCAGTATTTGAATGGCTTGCTCCTCACAATTATCCTTTGTAACGATTAGAAATGGGCATACAACTTCAGGCATACAACTGTGTATCTTAAAAAATCAGCTCACTTCCTACCAACAAGGAAGGGTTCAGAAGCAGCAACCCTAAAAGTTTCTGATGATGTTTTGTCTCCGCAGTTGAAAGTGGAAAGCAGGAGCAACTCATCAGCTGAACATTACTTACTCAAGATAATCGTCTGCCTCTCTGTTCTTATCACTAGGTGAACCAGTAGGGCTTCATGTTAAGCCAAGACATTCCTTTCTGTAACGTTGTGTGCCTGTGGCTGAGGAAGTGATTCATGCAGTTTGTGTAGGCACAGTGCTATCTTTAGGTGCGTACCTAAAATGAGTTCAGAAGATTTTCTGGATCTGGGACCTAAATAAGTCTGGATCTTTTCTTTGACACTCTTCATTAGAGTAACAAAACATGACTACCAGTGAGATAGCACAGGAGTATACACGATATCTCCCAATAAACTAGGCCTGACAGCTTGTAACACAGGAAGTTATGACAGCTTTGGAAGAAAACACAATGCATTTAGCACACCTCCAGTAGCAAAGTAGTAATTAAGAGAGGTATGTTCCCCTTCCTTCTCTAGGGAAAAAGGAAATATATCTTATTCAATCCAGCAGCTTTGCAAATCAAAATACCAAGGAAACATACATCTCATCAGAGTCAAATAGGATGTATTTGGCATCTACAGACAGTAATACAACTGGGTTTCATGTGAATCCCTGCAACTGGAGTAATCCTGAGGTAGAAGACATGTAGTATTTGATACAGTCAAAAGCTCTACACTGCTTGAGCAAAAATATCCCCCTGTCTAGGAAGAGATTAAAAAACACAGCCTGGATTCAGACTCATGACTACTGCATGATTCAGAACAACTCATGACTACTGCAATGCTAAAAACCCAGGAAAGTGAACATGGTTATCCTTCAGCACCAAAACAGAATCACAGAACTGCAGTTGCTGGAAGGGACCTCTGGAGACCATCTAGTCCAACTCCCAACCCACCCAGTGGTTCCCTGTGGTAGGTTGCATCCAGGTGGGTTTTGAGTATCTCCAGAGGAGACTCCACCATCACTGGGCAGCCTGTTCCAGTGCTCCATCACCTCACAGGTTTTCCTCATATCCAAACAGAACTGCCTGTGTTCCAGTTTGAACCTGTTGCCTCTGTTTCTATTGCAGGGCACCAACAAGAAGAACCTCTTGATTCCTGCCTTTTAGATATTTAAAAGCATTGATAGGATTCCCTCTCAGTCTCTTCCTCTGCAGACTGAATGGTCTGAACAGCCCCAGGTCTCTCAGCCTTTCCCCAGAGGGGAGATGCTCCAGGCCCCAAACCATCTCTGTAGTCCTCTGTTGAACTCTCCCCAGTAGTTTCCCGTATTTCTTGAACTGAGGAGCCCAGAACTGGTCACAACTGTTCCAGATGTGGCCTCACCAGAGCAGAGGATCACCTCCCTCACCCTGCTACCCGTGCTCTTTGTAATGCCCCCCCAAGGCACCACTAGCCTTCTTGGCCACAAGGACACACTGCTGGCTCATGCAGCATGCTTATCTTGGTGAGCATAAAGGTTCCTGGTCCAAAGGTGCTATGCTGTATGCCCATGTCTTCACCACCCACTGCTTGCCAAAGAAGAAGCAACAAAGAAGGCATACAGAGGGACTTCAAGCACTTGAGGCCACCACCAGCTGTTAAACACAGCTGCAGGAGACTGACCTGCAGAGCACAGGGAGAAACGCTGCACTTCCACACACACAGTGCTCATTGCCTGGGACATATAAGGACCCTCATCAAATGAATTCCTTGTCTGGAAAGAGCTACAGTAGAGTAAGCAAACCAGATAAGTCAAGAATCCAGGATTTCTATTTTTCCTCCTGCCTTTACCAGCTGGCCTTCTTCAGCTCAGTTTTCCACATATTGATAACAATCTCCAAGTCAGCTTAAAAAAACAGCTCTGAATAAAACTGCTTCATCCTCTGTGAATTAAGGTAACATCCTGCACTACTATGAGGGAGGAAAAAAAAAAAAAAAAAAAAAAGAATTGTGTTACATGTAATACTGAAAAAAGAAATCCTAAAAAAGAAGGGGATTTACAGGCATTTTGCTTGTCACTTCAGCTCTTGTGATAAAGTGCTTAATTTCTAAGTCTTTTGCAATGAACAGAGTTGGGTGAGATTAAAAACATAAACAGAAAAAAAGAAGAAAATCTATTGTGACCATGGAGTGACATTGTATTTTACAATATTGAACTTACTAACTTGTAATATATAATTTATAAGCATGCCATCTGCAAAATCCACTGTTCGTGAACTCTGACATTCATTCACAGTATATGTAATGCCTTTCTGTATGGATTTAGAATCTTCATAACCCCTGAGACTCGTGCAGACAATTTACTAAACCTGAAAATAGCCTGAAAAACCTAAGAAGCCCAGCATTCAGTAAAGAAAGACCTCCCCCAAATTTCCTTTCCCCCCATTTCAATTCCATGCTACTTTGGTGCAAGCAGAGAGGGAAAATTACTTCTCTCTAGTTAGAGGATTAGCTAGAGGTAGTCCACCTTAAAGGGGGAACCTGGAGCTGGGAGGTTAAGGAGGGAAGCCTGCATTCCTGCATTGCAATAGTTTCATTCATAATGAATGGAGCTGCGGTCTCCAATGGGAGAACTGCACAAGCCCTGAGTTAATCTGGTGAAAACATACATTTTCCTTCAACAGCATTGAGTAGGGCTGTTGTTCACCAAGGTGGACAAAACCAAAAGCCCTTCAAGGACCTGGGCACTCACCTGCTTCCTGGCTTGGGCCCACGGTTTCTTCAATGCTTTGCTTCTCCTCTGCGCTGTTACCACCTATTGGGGAGACCAAACAATTCTTTAGGATGTATCTTCCTATTGGTAGCAGCAGTAGCAGCACTGTTCATGGTCACGAACGCAGCACAAACTGCTCCTTTGCAACAAGGCCCCGCAATAGAAGGGGAAAGATGCAAACAAATCTGAACAAATGGCAAACGTAACCAGCAAAATTTAAAACTGCCATATTTCCAGCTGGGAAGGGAGGTTAGATTAAAGATTCTTACCTTAGTAGGCACATCAGAAATATCTGTATACCAAATAAATAGAGCTTTCCCTAAACACTGTCTGCAGTAGATAAAAATGTTGCTTGATCTGAGTCTATTCATTTTCTAAAGATTTTCTTTTTTCCCCAGGATTATTTTCCTCCAGTAACATTTCCACAAGAGCCTTGGAGTGGCTGTGTTTCAGATTGCAGAACCCACTTACATAGCTATGGAAGCTGAGAAGAGGAGAGGCAGAATTGCCTGAATTTTATTTTAAAGCTAAAGGCTCAACGCCACTTAACATAAAGTAGAAAAATGCACCAGAAATGACTGCAATGGAGAGAGCAAAATAAACCACAGTCAGATCGCTAGGATTTAATGTGTTTTCCCCCTTTTTACATTCACATTCATTCCCAATTTTCTCCGCTACTTTGCATTCACATTCATCACCCACTTCTTTCCCTCCAGCTCTTACTGAAGGCAGGTATCAAACCCTGTGTTACCACTGCCAGAAGCGATGCCCTGGGAAAAACAGGTCCATAGACACCACACCAAGCTCCCTTAACCTTTGCCTGGCCCGATTAGAAGCAGATCAGGAAATCTGTATTTCCAGCGATGGAGAACACTCTTCTAGTTCCCTAACAACATTAGAGGCTGCCGTGAGATGGGCTGGCTCAAATGCGATGGCTGCGCTCCCTCTCTTCCAGCATGGCAGCTGAGCTCCAGCCTTAATGAGGCATTTGGAAAAATGACTGCTGAGCATGTACACTGGGAGAAAGGAAATTCATTCCCAAGCCTGTAAATGGCTCGATAAGTATATTTTTCTTGCTGTGGCTCCTGGGTTTTTCTGATTGCAGCTTCTCTAAAGCAGTGCAGTTGAAGCTCTTTGCACTGCCTCCTTGCTTTTACTTAGCACAGAGTCTGCTGAAGAGAACAGCAGTAGCCCAAATGCAATTAGGTGGATGGGAGAAAAACTGAGAAAGTGCATGTGTTTCAGCAGCAAACACACATCTCCCAGCATCGCGCTACACTCAGCTCATACTTAGAGGTTGGGGTATGATGCTCGCCTTCTCCAGCAGGCAATACATGCAGCATCCAGCAGATGGGACTCGTGGAGAAGCATTCCCCATCGGCTCGCGTGAAGCGGCTCTCAGAGATGGGGATGGAGCAAGGGGATGGAGCAGCACCCAGCACCGGGTCACCTGCCTGCCCGCCGCTCTCCGCACCGACTGTAACCAGCTGCAATGGCTGGCTGGCTACAGCGATTTCTTAGGACGTTAGTGAGCTCTAGCCTGTAAAAAATTGCATTTCATGGATGACCAAAATGGCTTGACAAAACCAGCTGGGGTTTTTCACTCCCTCCCTTTAAATCACCCTGTCCACACGCAACACAGGGACCGCAAGCAGACCAGAAAGTTTGCTGTGCCAGAAGACAAACTCTTCTCTCCCCCTTCTCCTTTTACAACACGGGTTTGGGACTTTGCAGGCTTTACAACATGCAATTAATAAAGAAGAAGAAAAATCCTTTATGTCACCAGGCTGTGTTTCAGAGGGATAAAGTTGTCTAGCTCGGGAGCTGTGCAAAGGAACAGTATGTTCAACACAATACTATCACACAACAGTGCAGTGACACTTGAAAAATCTTTACCGTTAAGTCGGATCCAAAGAGAATATTGTTGCATCACTGTTAAACAAGCGGTGCCAAAACATAAAGGATTTCATTACGGCCAAGTGCAACATGTTTTGCTCTGCACAGAAGGACTTCATATTCAGGAAAAGCACGTCAGGCAAAAATAGTAGCTACGGATATATCACTGGAAGTCATTTCAGCAATTGCCTTACTGCATTTAGAATGAAAAACTACGTTTCTAGGTGACACTTGTTGCTACATCCACTATAGAGACTACAACCATCAGTTATTTGGCTAAAATCAGTATTTGGGGGGTTCATTCATAGCTATTTCCAAAGGGCTACACCTTATTTTAAAGTTACTTTCTCAAAGCAAACTTGTACCTCCAAAGAAAGTTTAAAAGACCTGCTTCATCAGATTAACAGACAATGCATATATTCATTAGAACATGTTGTCAATCCTGAGGCTATTATTTCACCAGAGATTCACTGTTTAAAACTAGAATAATGGAAAGATAATTACAGCACTGTGTATTAGATTCTTAACATGTTTTCCATCTAACATTTCATTTTGTTCCTTTTGAGGAAAAAAAAAAAAAAAACCCCACCAAACGTGAAAGACTTTAAGCAGAAGTTTCACCTCTTGTACTCTGACCCAGCCCAGCAGACTGACTGGACTGTGACAAGGGAATTAATTTTGATCAGCACAGTGAAAGTACGTGTTGTGCCTGCAAAGCGACTTTCCTACAATTAGAGGAAAGGAAACACCACGGTTAAGAGTGGGTGAGTGATTCTGAAGTGAGTGATTTGCAGAGGGAAAGGGTAAGCCCTGCTTGGCCTAGGGAACCTCTTCATCTCTGTGGAAAGTGAAGTAAGAACACACCAGTAAGAAAGCAAACTATTGAGTGGAAAAGTGGCTAATCCCAAAGCATCTGACAAACAGTTTTTTCCATTTTTTCATAAACTTTTCTAATGAATCTCTTACTGAGTGCCTTCTACTGATGAAGAACCTTTATGTAATCATTGCTGTCCACTGGAACTGGGTGCACAGCAAATGGGAAGGTCTTAAGTAGCACATGCTCAAACCAAAGAGCTGAAAACTTACTATAGAAGAGAAGCAAGCCAGTTTTCCACTGTAGTTTTATTCGCCCCTGCTCTCCTTTTCTCCAGGCAGAAAAGTCGGACCCAGTGCATTTCCCTTGAGTCTTCCCCATGACATTAATACTAAAGACATCTTTTCCACTGGTTGGCTTCCATAGTGTCTGTCATCCTTCTCTTTCCACTACTGCAGCAACTGGCGACAGCATTTCCTTTAGGTGAGAACTGTCCCTGCAATATCTGCTTTTCCATTGTACTAGCAATTGAACAGCAATCTGTCACTCACTCCAAAGGAGATGGAAAAAGCGGTGAATGACATTTTGTGTCATTTTAGGCCAGCAAATGTAAATGATTTTGAGCCACATCAAAAGACAAATGGGAACATCTGTTTCTTTTTCCCTGCATGGCAGTCAGTTGAAAAACCAGGAGTTTTCAGAATTACAGAAGCACATCAGACACTAAAATACCTACTCCTGGCCATATATTTTCCTCTGCCAAGCTGACTACTGTATGGTAGGAGCCTGCTCTCCCCTTTTAGCCTTTTCCTTTGGAATTGACAAGGAAACTTGCCCCAAATGGCAGATATCCTTATTTATATCCGGTAGCAAACAGGTCAGGCAGTGACCAATCAGCACATTCAGCAAGCTGGCAAAGCACACAGCATTTTGAACTAAGCTAGAAAACTGGATGCTCTGTGAGTGTCTGCCTGCTTTATGTTAAGGAGAGGTACTTAGCATGCACAGTGATGTGTCACCCGCAGAAACTGCCCCAAAACGAAGCAGATGATACGATAAATAATAAGCCGGCAGTCATATGGGAGAAGGCTGAGACGAGAATCCTGCGAATGTCCAGGGGACAAGCTCTCAGCAGCACAAACAGAGCAGCTTTTAGTATTCTTCCCATTTACTCTGCCAGAGCCCGGAGGCACGGGGCTTTTTACATCCCTCGCTGTTTTTGCGACAAACACAGCAAGTCAAAAATATTAATAGTCTGCCGGCCTCTTGGCCCTTCCCATTTCAGAGATGAATGAGTGCCAGATTCTCACACACCTACTCCTCCTCAGCAGTTCCTTTCTTCATAAGTAGTCACAGACATATTTAGAGCTAAGGTTAATGTCAACATCTCAAAAACTGGTACAAAAAGACACTTTTCAGAAGAAAACAGAATTGCAGATAACATATTTTTAGTCAAAGGAGGAAATTCTGCCCGGCCAGTCTACTTCTACTCCTCCAACACACAAGTTATTAATAGTAAAGTTTTTTTTTCCACTAGGAAAAAAGCACTTGTACGTGCCATTGTGTGTCGACAGTCAGAGGGAGGATCTTTCAGAATACCTCCTCCTACCTGGAGTGGAAATAGTTGATACAGAGGGCCAACGTCTGAGAGTCCTAACTTGTCTGTCCTTCCCACATATCTGTGTACGCATCACAATCCTGAGCTCCAGCTCTCACCCTGTTACACCCTCCGTGGTTTTTGATTTGCAGCCACACAAATCTCCGATGGTCTGGCCTGAAAATTTCTCTCAAAGCTGGGCCATGCTTCTGTGACAAATGCAAACCAAGATCTGGCAGATAAAAGATGTCACAGTTCTGAATTGTCTTTTTTACAGCACGAAAACATTGCTGCGGTAATTGCACTAATGATGTGAAGCTTCTTCCACAATAACAGGGACACTAATTAATGAGAAAATTAAAAATACGGGCCTTGATCTTACAGCTGTTGCATTCTACCCACAAGCAGAACTGCTGACTTCAACGAACTCCTATGATGTGAGAAGAGAACACATATGGATCTGGATATACACTCAAGATCATATAGCCGTCAACCACTGACAGACTGCTCCAGTGCCAAAATGATATCAGGCATAAAACAAGGAGAGCCATCATGGTAGAACTCCAAAAGCATGAAAACAAATCATTAGGGTGGTAGCCTGAGGTTACCAAACATTTTTGGTTTGCATTTTCATTTCTTCTAATTAAATCACAATTTTTAAGTCAGCTTTAAACCGGGCTTGCATGGAATCTCTTTAGGGTGAATTTAGGGTTAGTAAAGAATTATCATTGGCAG